TAATTGATACACCCTTTCCAGATGCAAAGGTACTTTTGAAGGTACAAAGAAAAGGATTCAGAAAAGGAAACAGGAGAAGAAGCAGGGAGAGAAGGAGATGACAAGATGGCACAAGGTGTTCAACAATGAAAATATTTCTAGCCCCACCAAAGGAGTCCTAAAGTTAAACAGACTAAGTACCCCAGGGAGTGGGGGACAATGCTGTAAGACATTTACTGCAATAAAAATGTAACTACTGGGGCAGCTAGGTGCTCAGTGGATAGAACACTAGCCCTGAAGTCAGCAGGACCTGAGTTCAAATTCGGCCTCAGACCAAACACTTGACACTTACTAGCTGTGTGACCTGGGCAAGTCACTTAACCCCAATTGCCTAAAAAAAATAAAAATAAAAAACAGAACTACTGATATTTGTATAGGGGTCAGGACCAGTGCTTTGGAACCAAGATGAACCTGAGAATCCACCTAGTTTAACCCTCTCATTTTCTAGACAAGGAACTCCCATGGGATAAGTGACTTTGCCTAAGGCCACACAGCTAATAAGTGGCTTTGCAGTTTTCAACATCCTTTCCTATGTATTATCTCATTTGATCCTCATGACAGCCCTGAAAGGTAGAATTATAAACTCGATTTTAACTAATGAAGAAGTTAAACAACATGCCCAAGATCATACAATTAGCAAAACCTAAGCTTTCTGATCCTTAGTTCTGTATACTCTTATGCCATGCTCTTCTGCATCCCAACCTTACACAGAGTCTAGCACAACACCCTGAATATGAATCAGCAGCATTGAATAGGAGCTAGTGTGTTCCATTTGAAGTCAAGAAGACCTGGGTTCAAATGCAACCTCATATACTTACTAGCTGGCTGGGTCACTTATTTCTCTGCGCCTGTTTTGTCAACTGTATAAGGATAATAACAGCATCTACTGCCTAGAGCTGTTGTGAGGAACTTTAAAAACTTTAAAGTGCTATATAAATTTGAGCTATTATCATAGCACTCAAAGATGAATGCACATAATTGGCAATATTACATGTAAGCGTCTGCCAAAGGCTTGAAAACAGGTGGCTCCCAAAGTAGGTTAAACATTGCTCCCTGCAATTTTAATTATGCAATTTACTTAGCAAGACTCTTTTTCCATTGTACTGAAAAAAACTCAGCCATTAATCTGGACTTGTTCAAATGAGAGTGTGAGTTCCCAATCAATAGGATGCAAATAAGTAAGGTTTTAGGGCAGTAGTTCCCAGCAAAGAGAACCAAATAAGTCTATGCACCTGCCCAGGTAAGGCAGTCCCGATTGTGTGGCTGCCATAAGCAAACCTCCTTTGAAAGACTTCCTTAATAAGCACAGACAGTGGGATTTCCTCTCCTACCATGACCATCCCCTTCCCCCTTGGGCAGGAAGCTTAAGTAGAACAACACTGGGTTATTTAACACAGTCAGTAAAAACAAAAACCACGTACACAAATCCACACATCTTGGGGAAAGCATCTGTAATGGGGGGGGGGGTAAGAACCGCAGGATGATAGTGCAAAGCCTTAGAGGCAGCCACCTGAACACAAACTAATTACTGTAAGCATTTAATGACAATGACCTCTGTAACAAAAGCCAGCAGAAGCTCAATGCAGCAGGTGTGACATAGGCAGGCCAGGTAGGCCTTGCCTAAGTGAGGCAGACACTAAATAAACCATACTGTTTACCTCCTAGGAGAGACAAAAAGGGAGGGAGGGAGAGAGGGAGGGAGGGGGAGAAGGAGAGAGAGAAAGAGGAGAGAAAGAAGAGGGAGAAAGAGAAGGAGAGAGGTAGGGAAAGAGAAAGAGAGGGAGAGAAGGAGGGAGAAACAGAGAGAGAGGGAGGAAAAAGTGAAGGGAGATGGGGAAAGAGAAAAGGAAGGAGAGTGAAAGGGAAAGAGAAAGAGAGGGAGAGGGAGAGAGGGAGGAGAGAGAGAAAGAGAGGGAAAGAAAGTGAGAGAGAGAGTCAAAAAGAAAAAGACAGAGAGAGACGGAGACAGAGATGATTAATTTCCATGGCATATAAACATGAAAGAAGTCAGGAATGAGGCCAGCCTTAAATAAGAAAAGTTTGGGAAACACTAAGCCAGAAAATAACTTGCTCCAAAGAAATTAATTTCTTCTCACTTTGTATTTTAACTATGTTATTTGAAGAACTTGGGGGGAAAGGAAGAAATGCCCTTCTCCCTCTCTTCTGCTCCCTAGCTAAGAAGATTTATTCTAGCTCTAACTAGTAGATGGTGCTAGATCATTCTAGAAGATGGATAAGAGAAAAACTTGTGAGGCAGCATGTACTGGATTTGGGGTCAGAGGCCCAGGGTTCAAATCACTGCTGTGTCGCTTTTACCAACTGTGTGACCTTGGGCAAATCATTCAACCTCTCTGGGCCTCAGTTTCCTCATCTGTAAAATGAGAAAATTGGACTAGAAAGCCTTTAAGTTGCCTTCCAGCTCCAGAGCTACAATCCTCTAAGATTCCTAAAGAGGCAAAATGGGAGCAGGAGATTCAGATTTAGTAATAAGATTTTATCCTCAGCATTCCCTCCCCACTCAAAGACATTCAGAAGCCAAGAAAGACTGAGATGACATGTCCTCTATTGCCATCAGTGCTATCAATTGCATTTGGATAAGATGCCACTGAACTTGACAGCAAGTATAAAGATAAGCTCCACAGGGAAGAATGCTTAATGAACTCACCCTAAGAAAGGAAACCTCCAGCTATCAGATAACACACAGTACTATACAACAAAACTTACACTGAGAAAAGGGAAACCCTCATTCTCACACATTCTCACAGATACAGGCACCCAGAATTCCAAGAAGGTTTGTCATAATGGCCACAGACTGGACAGTCACAGTCCCAAATTAAATATAACTAGTCAAAACTCTAACAGTTGAGATAACCATTTTCCACCACCTGCCACCATGCATTCTTTCCCAATCCCTTCCCTTCCCCCAAAGTACTCTTACCTCTATCTTTCAGAATTAAAGGCTCACCTCAGGTGCCAACTCCTACAAGAGGCCACCTCTGATCTCCTCCAACTGTTATTACTCTCAAATTATCTTGTGTTTATTCATCCGTGTACCCCCAAATAGAGAAGAACATAAGCTCCTTGTGGGCAGAAATTGTTTTATTTTTCTGGGGTTCTTGGAATTCAAAGTGCAATGCCTTGTACACAGTAGACACTTAATAAAAGTTTGTTGAATTGAATGTGCTCCTAGAGTGCTTTTTCTCTGTCTTCATAGATTTTAATGAAGCCCAATTCTCATCACGGTTTCATCAACTATTCATTTGGTGGATAATAAAACAATAACACTTCAATTACCCTAAAGACCCTTGTTGGCAATCTAACCTACGGAAGGAAGGAAGGAAGGAAGGAAGGAAGGAAGGAAGGAAGGAAGGAAGGAAGGAAGGAAGGAAGGAAGGAAGGAAGGAAGGAAGGAAGGAAGGAAGGAAGGAAGGAAGGAAGGAAGGAAGGAAGGAAGGAAGGAAGGAAGGAAGGAAGGAAAGAAGGAAGGAAGGAAGGAAGGAAGGAAGGAAGGAAGGAAGGAAGGAAGGAAGGAAGGAAGGAAGGAAGGAAGGAAGGAAGCCAGGATCAGGAAGTAAGGGGGAAAAGTCAAATAAATAGAATAAATTTCTTGATCTTAGCAAGGGCTTGTGAACTACATTCTTAGGACCTCACTCAGAGCCTATTTAATTTAGAAAGAATTTTAAGAAAATGTTTGAATGTAAGATTAGAAGCAGCAAATTAGAAGGGAGTAGAGAAAAGGGAAAGCACCACTCTAATTCTTCAGGAGCAGCAAGAAGTCAAAAAGCATGGTCACCTGGGTCCATCTGTTAGAAGGGCCAAAAGCAATGTTCAACTGTGAAAGCACAAACCAATGGTCATGCTCACTTCACTCTGCATCCGTTCCTACAAGTCTTCCCAGCTTTCAATAATTTATACAATAACAGCATCACAAAGCAAACAACTCTCAAAGTCATTAAGAACCTTGATCAATGCAATGACCAACCATGATTCCAAGGGAAGAAAGATGAAGCACACTACCCATCTCCTGAAAGAGACGTGACAGACTTGAAATGGACGAAGAGTCCCACCTTTTTGGATGTCGTCAAGGCAGGCATTTCCCATGCTTTACTCTAAAAAATATTTGTCACAAGAGTTTCTGTTTTTATTTTTGTTTTTCTAAATGGAAGAGAGAGAAGATGAAATGAAAATAAATGCTTCTTAATAGAAAAAAATTTTAACTTCAAAAAACACTAATGATCTTAATAATGATAATCCAAAATCATCAAGAAAAGTCTAAGTAAGTGTAATAGCAGCTCACTTTTCTATAGCCCTGTAAGGTTTACAAAGTACTTATCCCAGAAAAAATCTTATGAAGTAGGTAGTGCAGGAGGTCTTGTTATGTTCATCATCTGGCTGAGGAAATGGAGGCTAAGAAACAAAGTGACTTCCTCAGGGTCACACAGCTAGTGAATACTGGGCCTTGGGATTGAGACGCTGGTCACTCAACTTCAAATCGAGTGCTATTTCTAAAACATCATGCTGTCTCTCAAGCAGACTTTGTTTAAGGTGGCAAGAAAGTGAATAATTTTCCAGCCATCTGCCTGGAAAATCCATTTCTGTGGAACACTATACTTCCTCAATGATGCCAGGTACATGAAGAGCTATTGCATCTTTGGAGACAGAGAGATGCTGCCTGGAGGTTTTGAGCACATTCTCTGATCTGAAGGTCTGTAATAATTCACAAAAGCCAATACCATTTCTCCAGCTCATCACAAGAGAAACATTTGACCACTCTGCTGTGACTGTAGCAAGGAGCTCCTGATTGGCCCTGTCTAAATTTGACCACACTGGCACACTCACATTAAAGCTGTCCCAGGCTGGCCCTGCAGTAGAACCCTGGGAAGATCTGAGGCCCCATACAGTGAACCAACAACCTCCAGCACACACAGCCCTCACCATCCACCACTAAACGTGCTCCTTACCTTTCTTTTATGATGATTTCACCGCACCACTGGCAATAAAACACATAGCACTTCAGGGCTTGCAGGCTTTGGTTCAAAGTGGACACCAGTTCTGAAGGAATGAAAGGAAAGAGCAAATCATTTTGGCTTTAGGACATACACATTAGTGCCCATGTAGGACAGTGGAAAGCATGATGAACTCATGGGATGAACCACAGGACCAGAGTTCAAATACTGGCTCTGCCACTTTTTCTCTGTGTGTTTTGTTGTTATTTGGTCATTTTAGTTGTGTCTGATTCTTCATGACCCCCTTTGGAGTTTTCTTGGCAGAGATACTGAAGTGGTTTGCCATTTGATTCTCTGGCTCATTTTACAGATGAGAAAACTGAGGCAAACAGGATTGAGTGACTTGCCCAGGGTCACAGAGCTAGTAAGTGTCCAGGGCTGGATTTGTACAAAGAAAGAAAAGTCTTCCTGACTCCCGGCCCAGCACTCTATCTCCACTGTACCACCTACCCACCCCATTCTCTCTGTGACTCTATACAAATCACTTAGCCTTCTGCGCTTTTGTTTCTCATCTATAAAATAAGAGTTACACTAGACCAAGGGTTCTTTACCAGAGGATGTCAGGGGGTCCATGAACTTGAATGAGGAAAAAACTGCATCTTTATTTTCAACTACCTGTCCTAAAATTTAGCACTTCCTTCAATTATTTAAGAATATGATTTTGAGAAGGAGTCAGCAAACTGCCAGAGGGAACAGTGACAAAAAAAAAAAAGCTTCAGGCTCCCCTTGACTAGATGATCTCTAAGGTTCCTTACAGTTCTAGATTCTACAGTTTCTTTCAGTTCTAGATCTGATCAAACAGCAGCATTAGACCCCTACCACCAAATAATGCTGACACCTTCCCCAGATACATTTTACAAATAATCTTTTGTTGATTCAACCAGAAGCAAACAATGTAAAGTATTTTGCATTGTCTCCAAAAATGTCAAAGAACTTTGCAAGCAGCTTCTTAAGTATTTATTCCACAGGTTACTTGAAGTAAGATGTCACTCCTCTTATTTTGTAGAAAGAGTCTCAACAAAAAGAAAGTAAGACAGAAGCACATTTCAGACACCATCTTGTCTACCTGAACAACAATCCCCTCTGCAATGTCTCCGACAAGTGATGATTCAGCCTTGGACTGAAAACCTCCTGGGAATGGGAGCCCATTAAACCAGTGGTGTCAAACTCAAAGAGAAATAGGCAGGGGAAGGGGAGGCCACTAAACGTTACATAAGGATAAAATAAGGGCACATGCAGGGGCAGCTAGGGGGTGCAGTACATAAAGCACTGGGCTTGGAATCAGGAAGATTCTTCTTCACGAATTCAAATCCAGCCTCAGACACCTATCAGTTGAGTGACCCTGGGCAAGTCACTTAACTCTGTCTGCCTTAGTTCCTCACATGTAAAATGAGGAAGGAGATGGGAGAAGATGCTGCCTAGAGGTTTTGAGCACATCCTCTGATCTGAAGGTCTGTAATAATTCACAAAAGCCAATACCATTTCTCCAGCTCATCACAAGAGAAACATTTGACCACTCTGCTGTGACTGTAGCAAGGAGCTTCTGATTGGTCCTGTCTATAGGAGGAGAAGGAAATGGGGACCCACTCCAGTATCCTTGCCAGGTACACTCCAAATTGGGTCATAAAGAGTCAGACACAACTGAAAAACAACTGAATATTGACTTTTATTTTTTGAGGCAATATGGGTTAAGTGGTTTGCCTAAGGTTACACAGCTATTAAGTGTCTGAAGCTACATTTGAACTCAGGTCCTTCTGACTCCAGAGACTGTGCTCTATCTACTGTGCCACCTGACTGCCCCTTGAATATTGACTTATAAAACCTCCCGTTATCTATGTTCTATTGTGTTTTTATTTATTTTGCTAAATATTTCCCAATTACATTTTAATCTGGTTCAGGAGCACTCCGGACTGCCAGAGGCCATGAGTGTGACACCTCTGTATTATACATTTGAATAGCTCTAACTATTAGGAAGTTCTTCTTGACATCAAAATTAGATTTGCTTTTATGCAAATTCTATCCATTACTAGTGGTATTGCCCTCAGGGGTCAGGCAGAACATGTCAAATCACTCTTCCACATAACAGCCCTTGAAATATAGCTCTCTTCCCACCCCATATAAGAAGCCCCTCCCCACTAACTGTTCTCTTCTCCAGACTAACAGCCTTCGGAACAATCTTTTTTTTTTTTGAGGCAATTGGGGTTAAGTGACTTGCCCAGGGTCACATAACTAGTAAGCGTCAAGTGTCTGGTCTGAGATCACATTTGAACTCAGGTCCTCCTGACTCCAGGTCTGGTGCTCTATCCACTGCCGCACCTAGCTGCCCCCGGAACAATCTTTATAAGTCATGGACTCAAGTTACACTGCTTGCCTGCCTGTGGATGCTCATCAGCTTATCTATATCCTTCCTGAAATATAGTACCCACAACTGAACACCAGAACTCCAAATGTGGCCTAATCAGGGCGGGATGTTAGATTTCTCTCCATGCAGCTAGTCTCATTTGGCTCATATCACAAAACTTGCAAATATGCAGGTCTCCACATGCCTCAGGGCCAGAATGTTTCTCCTCTTCCCTTCCCTTCTCTCTCCTCCTTTCTAGGTAATAATGCAGCCATCTTGGCCATACCAGGAGATCTGTATCACTTCTAAAGTGATTCAGTAGAAAAAAAAATTACATCCATTTTAATTCAGCTCCAAAGAATTCAAAACAAGCTTCAGTTTGCTCTAAATATTATTTGCTGACAATAAGAGAAAGTATCACTACATTCAGCATGTACCTGAGGATAGAAGAGCTGGCTCCTAGTGAGCATTCTCTTTCTCAGAAGCAAGAATCAATTCTGGTGAAAATTTCAGTGATTTGTATCATTCTTGCCAAGCCACTTACAAAGTTGTCTGAATGCAGTCAGTACATTTTCTTAATTTCAGCTTCTCAGTCATCAGCAATAGAACAAAGGATAAGAGCACAATTGTTTATTTAAATTCTCTAGAGAAATAACCTTCTCTATTCCCCACTTCTGCCCTTCCCCGCCCCAGACCAGCAGAATGCAGCAATATGGTTTACATCCTCCTTTTTTCCTGGAACTTCTTACGAAGTGAAGGAGTTGTTCCAGATGCAACAGATAATGGTGCAAAACTGAATAAAATTGGGCACAGAAGAGGAATTTGCAACCTGCACCAGAACTGGGAGCACCCACACAGATGAAAGCATTCAAGTAACTTTGGACTGAAGGAAGTCTAGTTTCTCTCAAGTGAAAGAAATTTACAAATTACAAAGATAGCAATGCAGCTTAACAGGGCTAAATGATGAAGGAAATAAACAGCATTACTGAATAGCAAGCAGCTAGAAGGGCCCAGAGTAGGCTGTTCAAATTATGTGCTGTAAAGAGTTGTCCAAGACTAAAAGGTCAATTGCCAGTATAGCAGTTCCATCTACTGGTGAAACAAGAGAAACTTACACTTTGTCTTTTTTGGGGGTGAGGAGAGGAAATCCTTGTTTTCCCCATCAAGAGAAGGGCTTTCAGAAACAATGGAGCTCTTCGATAACTGGTGCCCAAGGACAGGCCCAATGCCTATGATTTATATTAATATGTAATGTATTATTCTTTCACTGCAGATGGAATTCCACTTTCAGGAAACAAGAAACAGTTGAGTGATGGTAGCAATTAATTAGTATAATATTTGCTTCAAAACACAATCTTATCAATAATCAAAAAAAAAATTTTTTTTAGGCAATTGGGGTTAAGTGACTTGCCCAGGGTCACACAGCTAGTAAATTGTTAAGTGTTTGGTCTGAGGCCAAATTTGAACTCAGGTCCTCCTGACTTCAGGGCCAGTGCTCTATCCACTGCGCCACCTAGCTGCCCCAATAATCAAATTCTAAAAGCTACCAATTGATAGGTGTGGTATAGTGGATCAAGCACAGGGCTTGGAGCCAGTTAGAACCTGGTTTCAAATCCTGCCTCAGACCCTAGCTGTGTTACTTTGGGCAATTCACTTAACCTTTCTGGACCTCAGTTTCCTTATCTGTAAAACAAGAGTGTGAGGCTTGATGGCCTCTAGGGTCTCTTTTAGCTTTAAATCTTATGATTCACTGATTTGATCTGTGGTCTATTCAAATCCAAACAGAGGTTTCCTGTAATTGAACACTCAGGTTTTTTGAAACTTTAGAATAGGGTTAAATGTAAGTGTTTCCAAAAATCAGCTCCTAAAACATATTCTGATTCAAGCTCATAGCATTATGCATCTAACAAGTCATTGCTAAAGGAAGCTGTACTAGCATCTCCAGAATTTTTCCCAGTCTGGGTCAGTATTCCTAGGGCTCCCCTGGAAACTTTTTGCCTACTGTTGGGAAATGGACTGTTAGTGCCTCATCAGCCTGTTTCTGGCCTCTTTGTTCAGCCCCATTCTGAAGAGCATCTCTTAACAGCCAGCCCTGCGGCCCTTCACAGCTGTCTTTGATGTCATCCACTGAGCAGATTTTTCTCAGAATAAATAATCATGTGTCTTGGAAGTTACCATCTAATAGATAAAGTTTAACTTTTCAGGACAGATATGATCTTTAATTCGTGGTGAGGAAGTCAATACTATGATAGTAATTAGTGCTGATTTTACTCACTCTTGTTCAAGTCAGCCTGAACGAGAAGTCTCATATGGATCCCATCTCCAGACACGTACTGTAGCCCACGAAGGGAAGAAGGGACAAGCCTGACCTCTGGTGGAAAGTTGATTTCTCTGCACTGTTCGAGAGTTTTCATCTTCAGTACTGATGGAGTTATAGAAACATCCACGGGCAAGCTTCCTTGTTTTGGCTCTCTGTTAATTGAAAAATAAATTTTTTTCCCATTAACTCAATTTTAAGAATATTGATTAAGCAAATCTAACATTAAATGCAGCTAAACCAATTATAATGTACCAAATCATACCATGCTTCGATATTTGCCCAGATCTACAATCTTATCAATGTGGCTACTCCCTACAACAGTCCACACATATCTTCTCATCTTATCCAACTCCTGTCCATGCCTCTAGTAAATCCTCTAAGAAGACTGTCCATGAATTTCCTTCTATCTTAAATTCTTCCATATCTCCAACCCCTATAGTATCTTCTATTCTCATAACAAAGAAAGCTTATAATATGGGGTTTTTTTCATATATAGGGCAGCTAGGTGGCACAGTGGACAGAGTGCCTGGAGTCTGGAAGGCCTGACTTCAAATCCAGCCTGGAACACTTACTAACTGTATAACCCTGGGGCAAGTCACTTAACCCTGTTTGCCTCAGTTTCCTCATCTGTAAAATGAGCTGGAGAAGGAAATGGCAAACCACTCCAGTTTCTTTGCCAAGAAAACCCCAAATAAGGTCACAAAGAGTCAGACATGACTAAAACGACTGAACAACAATTGGCACCAGCATTATAATGTGTGTTTTTCTTTTTGTTTTGGACTGGACCTGTAATTTCATTGATACAAGGAACTCCCAGGTGAGGCAACTACTTCTACCAATGCAGATGGGTACTTGCTTTGCCACTTGTGATATTCAAGGGCACTCAAGGGTTAAATGACATGAACATGGTCACAAGTATGTGTCAGAGGCAAGGTATGAACTCAGGTCTTCCTGATTTTGAGACTGGCTTTGTATCCACTACACCATAATGCCTACTGTCTATGATGGCTTACTTATATAGCAATAAAGGGAGTTTAATTCAACAAATATTTATTAAGAATCTGTGTTTCATCCTAGGGACACGACTCTGTTTTCAAGGAGCTTAAAGTCTGATAGAGAGAAAGAATGAATATACCAATAATGCTGAAACAAGAAGAATGAGACAAGTACAAAGGAGAGATTTAGGAAAAATACCAAGAGATTTGGAAAGGAGAGACCACTTTCAGCTGCAAGGGAATGGGAGAAGAATGTGTCTAGGTAGGGGCAGGATCATTACAATTTAGTTTTGTTGAGAATGATTCAGGTAATTTGTTATGCAATATTTTAACAAAAAACATTTTTAATATGCAATAGAAAAAGCCTTAGAAAATTTCATAGGTTTAACGTCTTTTTTGTGAGTCAACTTAAATATACGTGGGTCATAGGATCATAAATCTAGAAACAGAAGGCATTTCAGGGGTCATCTAGTCCAACAATGTCATTTTATAGAAAAAACAGGCAAAAAGGTTGAGTAGTTAGCTTTCTTCAAGTAAAACAGCATGTAAGTAGCAGATCCGAGACTTGCAGGGGAAGGATGATTTTAACAACTTAGATCAAATTTGTTTAGGTTTGGGTTTGGTTTTCCACTTTTCGTGGAATTTCTGAGAAAAATTCAGAAATGCAAAATCATCAAGTCATTGTTATATACTTCCCTACTCTCTAACTCTGGGCAAATCAAATCCTTTGGACAAAAATAATGTAAACTAACACAACTTTTCACATTGTTTGGTTGTTTTAGTTATATCAGTCATGTCCAACTCTTTATGACCCCATTTGAGGTTTTCTTGGCAAAGGTATTGGAGTGGTTTGTCATTTCCTCTCCAGCTCATTTTACAGATGAGGAAAGTGAGGCAAATAGGGTTAAGTGATTTGCCCAGGGTCACACAACTAGTAAGTATCTGAGACCGGATTTGAACTCAGGTTCTCCAGACTCCAGGGCCGGTGCTGTATCCATTGTGTCACCTGGCTGCCCCTTTTTATAGGGAAAATATAGATCCAACTAACAACATAGCTGCATCACACATTCAAATCCAGAAATAAAATCACAAAGTTACAGAGTATCCTAACCTGGAAAACTCTTAATCCCACTGCCTCATTTTACAAATAAGAAAATTACTTATTGTAAAAAACTGCAACCTAGCAAAAAAACGTGCAGTCCCTTACTAGAAATCTCACCGGACTTGCTGTGCTAAAATCCCAGCTCTGATACTTTATGATTTATTTATTTATTTATAATACTTTATGTTCATGGACAATTCATTCTCTTCTCTAGTCCTCACTTTCTTCATCTGTAAAATGAGGACTCTAGACTAGATATCTCTAAAGTCTTTTCCAATCTTAATTATGTTAATGAGCCTATAAATAATATATCTAGTGCAAACAGCCAAAAACACAGGCTTATGAAGTAGGAAAAAACTCTCCAAAGTCTATGATTTTCATAAGCGTCCTGCACTCCTCATAATATAATAACATAATATAATATACAGTTATAGAAGGTTAGAGCTGGAAAAATCTTTAAGATGACTCACCCTTTCAATTTATAAATGAGGAAAATGAGACACAGAAAAGTTACATGACTTGTTCAAAATCAAAATCAGCTGGCTTTATCAGGTTAAAGTTAAGTTGTCTGATGATCGCCATTTAGCTAGCACAGATCAGATTTCTTGGCATTATTTCATTCCCATTTTTTATTTGCAGGTTATTTCAGATTTACACTGATATAAAATATTTATATGAATATTTTAAATATAAAATATTTAAATTATCCCGTATGCATAACAATTAATCCAGCCTCAATTAGGAGAACAGGAAGGCTCCTTTCCAATTCTCCTACACATTGGTTCACTTTCATACAAAACTAGTTTGGGGAAGATCTAACCAAGCAAATTTATCCAAAGGATATTTAAAGAAGACAAGTAGAAAAAAATATTAAAGACCTGCAAAATTTTTTTATAAAAAACTGTTTTTAACTATTGAGTACAATAAAGCTACCGTCCTTGGACTCCAACATGAACCCCAGAGCGGAGAAAGAAATGTCATTAAAGAGAACAAAAATGGGAAAATCAGCTGGCTCAGATCAAGTGTACAGAGAGGAGACCCGTGCTGGCAGGTACACAATAGGGAAGGTTTTATGGAAAATTAATAATAACTAATATTATATGTGTATATAGTGCTTACTATATGCCAGACACTGTGCTAAGTGTTTTACAATTATCATCTCATCTGATCCTCACAATGACCCTGGGAGGGTAGGTGTTATTATTATTTTCATTTTACAGATGAGGAAACTGAGACAAATAGAAGTTAAGTGACCTGCCCAGAGTCACACAGCTAAGAAGTATCTGGGGCCATATTTGAACTCAAGGCCCAGCCCTCTATCCACTGTGATACCTCACTACCTCGATATTCACAATATATTTAAAGGAGTGTAAGATACAAAATGGGAAAAGTTTTGGACCTTACCTTTAAAAGGTAACCGAGGGAACAACTAACAACCTACTTTCCCATCTACATAAATGTTTATAAAAATCATCTGAATTCTAATCAAGGACATGTTCAGTGAGGACATACTAAGAGGAAGGCTTTAAGAGCAATACTGCATGTTAGAGCGCATCTCTGCTGTCACCAAACTGGCTAAAAGATATCAGAAATATAAAATTCCACTATGCTTACTGTTACTTGATTATAAAAAAATCATTTGACCCAACTATAAAGGTTCTCTTCCAATAACATGTCTCCTGTATGTATATACACAGTATCATTCAAGATTCCTTAATGAGATAATACAACATGAAAAGCATCTATTAAGCACCTACTATGGGCTAGCACTTCAGAAACAAAGAGAATGAATAAAACAGTCCCTACCTTCTAATAGGGAAGACCACAAATACATATATAAGCATATATGCAGAATAAATATAAAGAGACTCAATACAAAGTAGAAACAAGCAGTCAGGAGAGCAGGAAAAATTTCATGTAGAAAAGGTGGTGTCTAAATCGAATCTTGAAGGAAGAAAGGAATTCTTTATGAGGCACAAGTCAGGCCAGGTGAGCATTCCAGGCATGGAGGGCAGCCACTGAAAAGGCACAGAGATGTGAAATGAGAGTGTCACATCAGAGGATCAGAGAGAAAACTGGCTTGGTTGGGTCATAGAGTACAGGAGGGGAAGGAACATATAACGAGGCTGGAAAAAACAGTTGAGGTTAGGTTTTAAAAGCTAAACAGAGTGGATAGAGCACCTGTCCTGGAGTCAGGCGGACCTGAGTTCAAATCCAGCCTCAGACACGTAACACTCACTAGCTGTGTGACTCTGGGCAAGTCACTTAACCCCAATTGCCTCACAAAAAAGAAAAGAAAAGAAAAGAAAAACTAAACAGGAATTCATACTTTATCCTAGAAGCAATAGGAAACCACTGCAGTTAATTAAGTAGAAGCCCTTCAAAGAGTATTAGATATAAGGGAATTCTATGTGGACAGTGAGTCTCCAGATGATATTAAGCTTTAGAACACTGAAGATTATCCTAAGAGATCCATAAGAACTCCAAAGAATTTGGATTAACATGCACACAAGAAAAGTCAAGTGGATGAAGAGTGTCTATTGCCTATATTATGACATACAAGTGAAAAGACAACTTATAAAGCTTACATGTATGTATATCTACACATGCACACATATATGTATGTATATGTGTGGATGTATATGTATTCATATACTTATGAGAGCTATGGAGACATATAGATCTATATCTATACATTAGTATAAATATGGATGTGGTTGTAGATATAAATGATAACCATATAGAATGCACATCAATATATATGGATAGGACCAAAAGTCGAGCCCAGAACTAGACAGAAAAGCAAATCAAATGATAGTTAACTTTTTCAAGAAACAAAAGGTCACCTTTTTAACACCAACATTTTACTGGTGGTGTTACATGGATGCAGGACAGGAAATATAACTCTAAATAAATGAAAATAAATATCATGAAGAAGACAACGAAAAGGCTTATAGTGGATGTGAGCAGAGGACAACACGCAACAAAAGGAAATAAAAAAACAGGAGCAAAGAATGTTACCAGAGAAATATATGTTTGAAAGATGGACTTGTCACACAGAGAGTGTAAGGGATAACTGAGGAACAGCATGTATGTACAATAGCATCCTCACCATGTCAAGAAAAAACAAGGGAAGTACAGCATACTTTTCTTGCAAATAGGTAATAAAACCTGGGCAGCTGGGTGGGGCACAGGACACAGCTCTGGGCCTGGAGTCAGGAAGACTCATCTTCCTGAGTTCAAATCTGGCCTCAAACACTTTACACTTACTAGCTGTGTGACCCTGGGCAAGTCACTTAACCGCGTTTGCCTCAGTTTCCTCATCTGTAACATGAACTGGAGAAGGAAATGACAAACCAGTCCAGTATCTTTGCCAAGAAAATCCCAAATGGGGTCATGAGGAGTCAGAAACGGCTGAACAACAAGTAAAACTTGTGTTTTTTCTTATTGATTTGAAAAGGTAATGAAAAGACAGTGTACAATTAATTTAAGTAGGCTGTCAAAAAGACCAGCCATGCTGCATTAGAGTAGTGGAAAGAATGCTGAATTTGGAGTCAAGGGACCTAGAGTTATACTATCTTTATCTGTGTGTCTTACTACCTGTGAAATCATTTCCTCTGCCTCCACCAGGATGAACAAGAAGTGGTAAAGTCTCATTTGTTTCTAATCCTGTTACAATAAGACTTGCCTGGGGACTGGAAAGGTAACCGGGGTGAGGAATAACAAAGGTGAAGGGGATAAGGACACACCCAGAGACACTCATCCCACACCCTCCATTCAGAGGGCTATTTGGAAAAGCACCCAAGGATAAAATAGGTTTGTAGGGACTCATGCCAATAAAACATTGGCTTGGTATAGGATAAGACAAGTTCCACTTTTTTTTTAAACAAAAACTAGTCATCTCTTCACGGACCAAGTGACACGAGCAAGTCAAGATAATCATCTTTTTATCAACATAAACAGCATTTTGTTTTGGAAATACTGTAGAGATTCTAGTGGGGGAAAAAACTATGTATTATACTTTAGAGCTTAAATTCAAAGGAGGAACGCGAACTGGGGCTAAAAAGAGGGAAGGAAGGGGAGGGGAGAAGGGAAGGCGGAGGGACAGAAAAGGTGGCCGGACTCCCAGGGTTTCCCCCAGCCGGAATGACGTCAGAAACTATCGCTCCCATGCGCCTGCAGCTTCGCCAGGCTAGGCTTCCGCCTGCCTCCAGAGGCGTCAGCCAGTTAAACGTGCTACAGAGCTCTCCAGAGCCAGTGCACAGCCTATTGGCTCAGCAACCACGCGTCAGGTGCCCCCAGCTCGTCATTTTACGCAAATTGGAGCCTTTTCCTGCCCAGTCACATCTGCGTCCTGGGGGATGAATGGATGCCCTGGTAGGGATCCAGGGCACAAATCCATAGACAATCCTCCCTTCCCCACCCCTCGCTCGGGCGCCCAACCCCTTCCCTGACCCAGCTAGTGTAAGGCTAGAGACTTAGACGTGGATAGCTTTGTACCGGATAATCAGCAGTGCGTTCTGCAGCCGCTTCCTAATCTCCAGGAAAACGTCCATTGCCTGCGTCCCCTGGCTTCTCTTCCTGCGGAGTAATGAACTGGGTGGGGGTGGGGAGTGTTGGGAAGGAGGTAGGAGTCCAGTGACTCACGCTGCCCCAGCTCGAGAGCCCACGGGGGTGCGGCAACCCTCACCCGCAGAGGAGTAGGAGGAGCGCGCTGGGCGCTCCGCCCTATCCGGAACAGCTTCTAGCGCTGAAGGCTGTGGCTCCTCGCTGCAGTCTGGACTGGGTACCGCGCTGCCTAACTAGGAGAGGAGAGTAGGGGTTAGGGGAGTGAGTGTCCAGAGGAACAGATGGAGTTGTAAAAACTGATGGGATAGGGGCGGCTAGGTGGCGCAGTGGATAGAGCACTGGTCCTGAAGTCGGGAGGACCTGAGTTCAAATATGGCCACTTGACCCTTACTAACTGTATGACCTGAGCAAATCACTTAACCCCAAATGCCTTAAAAAAAAAAACTGAGGGGATGAACTGTAATGCAGAGCATTATTTTACCATTTAGGTAGTAGGGCCCTTTAGGCAATGGAAAGCAGAAGTTGCTGCTTAATCTTGCCCCAGACCTCTTTCCTCCTAAATCTAAACAATAGTGAAATGTACTCCTGCATAGCTTAAGCACAGCCCATACCTCCAAAGCAAATGGATAAGAAAACTTGCAATACAATGGCTTTAGATAATTATATTTATACCAGAAACCAGGACACCTGGTCTGGTTTGTGTGATCCCTGACCTGTAATGATGGGATGCTCGGATGCTTGTGCTTATACTTTTGCCCCAAAATGCCTCCCTAGTCTCAGAAACACTATCTCGAACAACCACTCCCCAGCCCAAGGACCCTGTGCCTAGCAGTATTCATGCATGGGCCTCAGCAAGACCCTTATCTGGCTGCTCAGGCCACAGCCCTCAGATCATATCTCTGGACGCCTCCATTGTAAGAAAGTTTGCAGAGCATTATCATATCTACACAGAGGGAGAAGGGTGTCCTTGACCAGCCAGACTTCAAAGATCCATCCCCCTCCCTGTCCTGTATACTCCCTATATAAACCCTAGCTCTACCCCTGATGGGTGCTGCTTGATTTGGATGTGAATATCCCTGGCAGCCGCGCGCTAATAAAGTCCACAATTTAAAATTAGCCTGGATGGTCAACTTGCTAATTTTTCGGTATAACAGAACAAGTAAGCAAAGAGGGAGAGTGTGGGTACTTCCTTTGTCTGACGCCATCATTTGCAACTCCTTCGTTTTCTTAGGATCATAAGATTCAGAGTTGTTGGGACATTTAATCCAAACCATTTCACAGATGAAGAAACTGAGGCAGCATGACATGGTGGATAGGGCAATAAATTGAAAGTCAGTCAAGAAACATTTATTGATCACTGTGTGCCGGGCAGGCATTGTGGTAAGCCCCTGAGGACACCTAGAATGGCAAAAACTTGAACCCTGCCATCAAGGAGTCATCCTGTTTTAGACTAAGCAAGTCCCTTAGTCTCCGTTTCTTCATCTGTAAAATTAATTATTCAGTGGCCTCTTCAGATCCCTTCCAGTTCTAAATCTGTGATTTTATGAGACCCAGAAAAGGATTCTGAATAAGATCAAACAACAGACAAGTTGCAGAAAACAGGATTTGTAAATGTTGTTTTCCCCCAGGGAAAATTACTATTTGGTTAATGATAGCTCATATTTAATTTGAAACTTTGCAGTTGATGATTTCCTCTCAGCAAGCGTGTAAGAGAAGTATTCTTATCCTCATTTTACGGATAAAGAAACTGAAATTTCCAAGAGGTTAAATGACTTACCCAAGGTCATGATGTTAGTAAAGATCTGAGCCAGGACTTCAACCTTCAACTTCAGTCACTCTATCCACTATTTTACACTCTCTCTCACTGATCTGGTGACCACAGGGGTTGCCTATTTCAAACCCCCCCCACACTTCACAGATGCACAGAGGCCCCACAGACATTAAGAGACTTTCACACAACTAAGGCATAGGTTCCCAAAGTGGGCAATACCACCCCCTGGGGAACGCTGGAACAATGGAGGGGGGCAGTAGTAGCCTCCTGTGCAGTTAGGGAGTGTTGAATAAAAATAAGGGGGCAGTGGAAGCATAAGAAAAGAAGAGAAGTGAAGAAAATTTTTAAAAACCATTTGTACGTGTTTCATCTGTTGTGTAAGAGTATTTTCCAAATAAACACCCAAAAAGCAAGTTATAACCCTTTAGAGGATAACGTTTTGTTGTTGGTTTTTTTTGTTTTGTTTTGTTTTTGTTTTTGCCTAAGCAATGGGGTTAAGTGACTTGCCCAGGATTACACAGCTAGTAAGTGTAAAGTGTCTGAGGCTGGATTTGAACTCAGGTCCTCCTGACTCCAGGGCCGGTGCTCTGTCCACTGTATCACTTAGCTGCCCCAGGATAGTGCATTGTTGAAAAGTCTGGCATGCATCTGCAAGAATATTTGCGTAGAATGACTTGTTTGTGATACAATGCTATAAGGGCAATATCATGTCATCGAAATTTCAATGCAGAAAAAAACTACAAACTTGCAATAAATTATTAAATTTAAGATGAGTCATTTTTTAAAAATTTTATATTTTTTTGAAATGGTGCAAATTTAAAAAAAACTGTTAAAGGATTAAAGAAAGTAGATTTCCAAGGGTGTGCTAAGTAATTTTTTTTAAAGAGGTGGTAAACCAAATAAATTTCAGAACCTCTGAATTCGGACAGGGCTAGGATTAAAACCCCAGTCCTCCTTACTGTTGGACAAATCACATAACTTTCTGGGGCACCAAGGATAAAAAGAGAAGCAGTTGAATAGGGTAAAAAATTGTATCAAATTTGTTATTTGTTATTCATATACTCAAAATGTATGAGCTAGTATATAAAACCAAAAGTTATTTACCATTAAACAAAAGGTAAAAGGATATATGCAATTCTCAAAAGAAAAATTGCATACTATTAATAACATATTATTAAAGTGTTCCAAATCACAAATAATGTTACAAATGCAAATCAAAACAACCCTGATGTTTCATGTCACACCCTGCAAACTGGCAAAGATGACAAAAGAAAGTAATAATCTGTGTTGGAGGGGTTGTACACACCAGTGTATTGTGTCAACCTCCAGAGTTCCGTCTAAGAAAGACAAACAGAATTAGGTTATATGTATGTTTATTTCTCTCAAGCAAGCGGGTATGCATGTGGAGATGCAGTTGGAACTGAGCTTCGGGGTTAGGCTGCACAGATTATAAAGCCATGAAGCAAGGAAGTGCCCTGACTCAGTGTCTGGCCTTTTGTCAGCCAAGATTACAGTTCCCAATAAGCAAGGAAGTGCCTCTAACTCAGAATATCTGTGCATTGTTAATCCGGTCTTGTGGTTGCAGACACAGTAGGAAGATTTTGGGGTTCACTCAGAGAGTGTCTCAAAGGATCATTGCTTTGTCAGTCCAGGAAGGCTCAAATAGTCCTCTCTGATTGGCCAGTCCAGGTTCTCAGCCTTCTTTGGGTGATGAGGACCTCAAGTGGGTCTCACAATTGTTATTAGAGCTGTGATGATTACAACAATTTTTGGAAAGCAATTTGGAGTTAAGTAAATAAAGTGACTAAAAGTTCATACCCTTGACCCAGAGATTCTGGTATTAGGTTTACACCCTAGCGAAGTTATTAATAGTGAAAAAAGTACCCATATACACCAAAATATTTATAGCAACACTTTTTGGGATAGCACTCACGTGGAAACAACATCTATTGATTAGGAAATGGCTAATTCTTCTAAGGCTTCAATTTCAATTTGAAGGATTGGATTAGATAACCTCTAAAATCATGGAGAGGTATGGTAATACAGCGGAATGAGCATTAGACTAGAAATCAGGGACCATCTCCAGTCATCCTGATCTATATCTTGCCACTGGACCCACATGACTCTAGAGGAGAGAGTGAGGCTGGTGACTTCGCTCAGCTCTCTCTCACTTAAATCCAATTCACTTGCAAGTCATGGCATCATCTTCCTGCTGTCACTGGTCCTCTTTGAGAATGAAGGACAAACAAGAAAACTAGGAATAGGAAAAGTCCTTTGAATGCTACCTCCAAACTCATGAAAGTCATATAATATGACTTCTACAAGTCTGTTTCCTCATCTGAAAAATGGGGATAATATCTGTAGTACTTTCAAGACCATAGAGAAGCTCAAATGAGATAATGTATTTAATCTGCTTTGAAACCATTATAAAATGTCACCTATTATTATCTCATAGCTCTGGCAGTCAATGATTCCCCTAATGGTGCATCTTCTATTCCACCATCTAATGGACAAAATCTATGACATTTGGTCATCCAACCTCTAACTTAAATGTTTCCATCAAAGGACTCCATTTAAAGAGGGCACTCAGCACAGTTTTTCTCCATTACCCCCTAGCTATGTTGATTTTAGACTTTTCTGGAACTCCCATAATACTACCACAGGTAACTTTCCCCCCTCCTCTGGCTTTTCAGCCTCCTTTTGTGGGCTGTCTCTCCCCACCCCACCCCCTCTAGATTGTGGACTCCTTAAGGGCACAGATTGTTTTTCTTTCATTTGTATTTGTATCTCTAGCACTTACCACTGGATGCCTGGCACTTAGTAGGTACTTTACAAATTCATATTGACTACTGACAGGAAGATCACTACCCATTTCATTTTGGATCTAGTGGTATCAAAAATTATTTTGGTATCCATTGGTATATATGTGCCAAGAAGTTCGCAGCCATTTTAGTATTTGTCTTTTAAGGAGTGGTTAATATAGATAAAGTACAAAATACCAAAACCCAGTGAATCAAGTTAAGAGAAAAGAATGAATGAAGCATAATGAATGAAGAAGAAGAGGTGACTAGCACAGACAAGTTAAAAATGGAGTGTCAACCTGAAATAAAGAAAACTGAAAAACAGCAAAAACTAGGGTTTTCTAACCAAGGCAAGGTAATTGCAATCCAGGGCCACCAGGCAGAACTAGGGTGCAGGAGTGCCCAAGATGGGCCGAGGTGGGGCAGAGTTAAATACACTTCAATAGGGAAGGAGTCTCATTGGAGGCACAGCCTGGAGAAGCAGTTTCATAAGCTGTTTTTCATAACAACCAAAAGCCCTTTGGGAAGGCTGGGGGAGCCTTG